ATCTTACTCATTTCTGTATCGCCAAATACCTCGACAACTTATCCTTCGCGGTAAGCTACTACTGCTGGTACATCACCATCTTCCAATAAGAATTACACAAAATTAATCAGACAAATCAACCTTAGAAAATTCTAAATTAAAAGAGGTATACCATAATACGTATCGAGTATTACTTTTTGAGTAATATCGTTCATTTTACTCGATGCAGTCCTTACAATGACTGTTCTTAAGCGTTAAATGCGCTTCGAAACCAGCGGTTTTTGACGACGTCGGTATTTCAGATCGTGTGATAAAATGTTCCATAAGATGATAAGTCTACTCTATATCTCGTCTGTTGCGATACGAGGAAAGAATGCATCTATTAAGCAAAAATGACTGTATTTATATGGTTCACTCGTTAATATTCGTCACGTCATAATGGAATTAAAATTTTTATACAAACTTAAATAGATGAACTTACATTCCTTTTTATTCACATTATATATAAAATACAAAGTTATAATCCATTGAAAATTAATATTTTCCTTCTCTCGTTAATTCTTCATAATATTATCTCTATTATAGTTTCCTCTTAAATTCCTTCCCGCGAATAACATTAAACAGCACATCTTTATATAATGGTTTTTTTTTATTAACTTTCGGGTTTCTACAATTTCATTTTCAAATAACAATGTCTGTAAATAGATAATATATTCGCAATAATCTTAAAATATCCGTCATAAATGTCACTTAAATGTAAACACATTCAAAAACCGAAATTCTATGCACAACGTATTTATTGCCTTAACGCACACCAACTTAATCTAACTTGTAACGAAATACACGCTCGAAAATATTTCCAAAAATGTCGCCTTACGTTCTAACTAAGACACTCGTGTAACGCAACGAAACCTTCAATTTTCCTTTCCTCCTAACAAACAAAACAAACACGATTCAATGAAAACTAGTCGTGATAATTCAACGACAGACAAATGCAAATATTTGTTAACATAAAGAAAAAGAAAAATGCAAAAACTGTTCGTATTTTCAGTCACACACATAAGGTATCCTTGTACGCAAAATTTAGCTCGTTCTTTCGAATGCTTCGAAAGTTCTATTTTCCTCGGAACATCTGCATTTGTTACATTAATCTTCGTTTACGAAATCTCTGCGCTTCCTCGTTCATTCTTCTTGTATAAACGACGCCACTAAACATCTGGATCGAGGGAAACGTAATAAATCTTGGGTATCGATCGTTAATGCGATTGTAAAAATCAATATATATATATATATTTTTTGTTTGTTTATAATTACGTTAGTAACATTTCCCTTACTCACGTCAAACATCGGCATCATTTAGTCGAGTGCAACATTTGTCTCCTTTTTCTTTCGCTAAATAGATGAAGCACCGATCGATCGTTCTTGAGACAATTTTGGAAGAAATATTGAATATATACATAAAGATTAGATGTGTGCAATTAAAAGGTATTTATAAATCTAGTTATAAAAATTATAATTATAATACCTAATGTTATATTTTCACTTCTCTTGTATCAAATAATATAACAATTTTGTGTTAAATTATTAACCCATTTGCATCACGACTCTACCTATGCTACCGAGGTCAGACATCAGCGGCGTTCAGCTGACAGTTGGCCCGTATCACCGCGTGTGGGTGATACAAAATGTTTAAGGCCGAATATTCCGCGTCCGGTGATAAACGAAAGTCGCGGCTCGCGGAATAGTCCGACGATCGTCATGTGCGGAATATTCCGCTTACGGATGCAAATGGGTTAAGTACAGCAGTGCACACATAAGCGTCCGCATTCGGTCCCGACTGCTTAAGTGGGAAGGTGACTTCTGCGAATTTAACACGTTGAGCGCGGAGCCGATTTCGCTCAGGCGGCACACAGCGGCGATCACTTCGGTTATAGAGTACAAACAGAAGACAACAAATGCGCTCACACGGCATTCAGACGAAGAAATACCAATCCAGATTGATAGAAGAAGTGTTCGTAAATTGCAAAAAAAAAACCTACACGAGAAGTTCACTGTCAGTCACCACGGACCGACGCCGCCTAAACGAAAAGTGCACTGTCAGTCACCACTGACTGACGCCGCGCTTAACGTGTTAACTAAAGAAAGAGGAGACGTGTCTTTGTTTCACTCCTCGGCACGCTCGAACTCCACTCCGAAGTCCCATTTCCAAGAATTGATAGCGACGGACGCTTAAGTGTGCAAAAATGCGGACGCTTATGTGTGCACTACTGTATCTATTTTTGAACGTGTTATCGCAAATTTTGGTAAACTTTTAAAATAAGAATCTGCCGTTTATTAACGTTTAATTCGGTATTAAAACAGATATATTTATGTACCTACTTATTGCTTTCGTTTCTATTTGTAAGTAAATAAGTTACATATAAAGGAAGAAGCGTATAGGGGGAGTTCCCCTAGCGCCGGACGCTTAAGGTTTTTCTTAAATAAATCTCTCTACTTATGAAACGCGTAGAGAACTCATTTTTATTCCTTTCGTCTCCCCAAGGAGATACGCAGAATAACGGCTCGGTAGCGTTTCAATTATTGCAGATATAACTAATGTCCGATATTAGGTGCCGTCCGGCATAAAATATATAAATTATCGACAAAGAAGGGAAGACGGTTAGCTTAAAAACGATCGATCAGTGCCTCGGTAATCAAATGCCCTTGCAATAAACAATTTACAAAGTACAAGAAATGTAGGGAGAAACTTGCCATCAGTCTGTCTCGCAAAATTGTATCAAAAGATGTACGCAATGATGTAAAAAAATTTGTCTACAGTTACTTGTGAAGAAAACACTGCATGGTTGGAATAAATATCAGTGAAAAATTTCAAACTACAACTAACAGCTGAGAACCTCCTTTTTAAAAGCTGTCCAGTTTTAATTCTAATTTTCAAAATGTACCTCCGAAATCCGATTTCACTTTGGAATCGAGAAAATTTGATAATTTGTTTGATAAATTTCCTATTTTTCTGGTTCGATTAATTTCTGAATAGCAATTAAACGGCTTAAAAGAAAAAAAGACACTTGCACGGTAGTTTGTCGAGAAATGTCATGCTCGCGTTCAAATTCGACAAGGAAATTATCAGACAGCTTTCAAAGCGAACACCTTATCGAGTAATACAGTTTCGTAACATCGGGTGTAAATAGTAAAATTCTTGATGCAAGAAAACCTACGTTGTACATCGGTCACGTACGTTTAGAATTCATAAATGTGCACTTAGGAGAAGAGTGTACCGTCAGCGTGAACGACAAACGTTCAGGTGAAAATTTATTACGCGAAACACCGATGATGTTTTCCACGATAAAGTATACAGACATGTCACCCCATAACTTCTTCGCACTGGCGCTATAAATAACGCGCTCCTTGAAAATATTGCAACGATAGATTCGTAATAAAATCGATAAAACAGGTAAAAAATAGAAAAAAGAAAGGAAAATATTTCAACGATAAACTCTCTTCGTAAAAACAGAAAATAAAAGAAAACATTCGCCTTAACTGTAAGAAGAGGAATAAAAGAAATGAAACATATTCATACAACGCAGGATGTTCCAGCAACATTTGAACACCCAAATACATCTATTTAATTTTTAACGATTTCGAACGACGTTTCGCGTTATCGTTAAAAAATTGAAACAAAGGAGAAAATGTAGATCGTGTTTCACCGGCACAACCTGCGTGTATTACAGTTCGTCGACGATAACGAAAGTAAGAAAAGCAGGAGTCGCGTTTCGATTTTCGATATCTCCAGCCTCCACTTATTTATAACAATTTCTCTTGATCGTCCCGTCTCTCGGATGACAACCGTTTCAACAAAGAAAACAAGTGCTAAAGATCTGCACAATATCTTACAACGTTATTAAAACCTCTGATCGTAACACTTCGCAATCATCGAAATTACCCTAAATATGCTTACTGATATGCTCTAATTAACTCGATCCCTTTCCTCCCCCCTGCTAGGGCAGGCGAATACAATGTTAGTACACGTGGTGACGTTAGTTAGTCAGGGCAATAATAATAATACTTTGGTGACGGTAATGAACTCGAACGAACGTGAATAATCGCAATAATAGTGGCAATAATAGCAATGGTCCTTCGAGCGCCGGATTTTCCAGTGAGAAACGGTGGCAAAATGTTTTTTTCTTTTTTTAGGTGAGAATCTGTGACCTGTGTGATTAGCGATGATCAATAATAATCAACGTGGTATGAGAGAGTGTGTGAATAGTAATATCGTAATGATAATTCCTAAATGCTCGGGCTCGCAACTGCGATAAAGGCATCGCTTGCAAAACCGAGTTCAGCAATTCCTCCGATGTTCAGTCGTCTCGTTTCCTTGCCTTTCTACAATTTCCCTACCTTGTTTTTTTTTTTGTTTCTTTTCTTTTTTTTTTGTGGTTTTTGTCAGAAGGTAAAATGTAGAAGTCGGCAGTTTTCGGGCAGCTATAAGACTCGATTACGAAAGACACGTTTTTGTTTGTTTTTTTTTTTTAGTGGTCCACCACCCAACCACGATCAGGAACAGGAGATTTTGCTTGGGTCATGTGGAAACGCGAGGATATCATCTTCGACGTCCTTGTGGCGCGCTACGCGAAACGGATACGTTGCTCGTTCAGCTTCTTGAATATCAGCAACCCAACTGTTTCAGCTTCTGATGCAGCAGCCGCGCTGCTTCGGTAATCATGCTGCTAGCAGGTTCTTGATATTCTTAGGTGTGTTCTCCTCGTTCAGATGCTTGGTGGTGTAGCGAAGAGCGTTTAGCAGACCCTCGCTCTTGCAGGGTGGTTGATCCTTCAGTAATTTTACACAGCCTTTAACCTGGATCAATATTTGCTTCTCAGTAAAATGTGTGTGTTATAGAAATTTGAAATTTCTGGTAAAATAGATAATTTGGAACGCGGATGATTTGAATTTGTAGAAGTATGAGTAGCAATAGGAGAATAATGTGACGTGAACTTAGGTCGTTAGGTGCTTTTGATTTTCTGTAAAATTTTTATATTATAAAAATTCGAAATTTCTGATAAGATAGGTAATCTAGAATGCGGGTGATCTGAATTTGCAAAAGTCCATAGCTATGAGTATGAGTCGTTAGGTGCTTTTGGTTTTCGGTAAAATGTGTATATTCCAGAAATTTGAAATTTTTAGTAAAGTAAATAATTTAGAATGCGAGTGATTTGAATTTGCAAAAGTCCACAGCTATGAGTACGAGTAGAATTAGGAAAATATTAGGTCTTTAGGTGCTTTTGGTTTTCAGTAAAATGTGTATATTATAAAAATTCGAAATTTCTGATAAAATAGATAATCTAGAATGCGGATGATTTAAATTTGCAACCGTATGAGTAGAAATAGGAAAATAATGTGACATAAACTTAGGTCGTTAGGTGCTTTTGGTTTTCAGTAAAATGTGTGTATTCGAGAAATTCGAAATTTCTGATGAAATAGATTCGAAGTTGCAGAAGTACGAGTAGAAGTAGGAAAATATTCAGTCGTTAGGTGCTTTTTCAAAGACTTCTAATACAAATATGAAACATTTACGAACGCTAATGCACCTGCTCTCGCGGTATAACAAAACGTAAGAACAAGTGAACGATTATTTACTACCTGTACTCTATTTTTAAACATCAAGTGTTTCTACCAATGCAAGACCGACGATAAAAGGATTAATTCGCTACTACATAAATTGCCTGCCGTGAAACGTCCTAAAAGCAAATTTCGTTATCGCTATTTTTCACACGAGTACATTTTTCTAATCGATGTTTAAATAACTTGTGTTTGCAGAGGATGATTCATAAAGAACGCTCTACCCGAATATCTGTGCTAGGTTTGAATACAGAAGAAAATATCAAATAACAAATGTATTCTCTGACGTTATCTCCGAGGTTACTTGCAGGATGACAGTATTATTTTAAATAGCATCATATATGTGACATCGTAACATTATGGCTGATGTCGAAACAAATTCAACGATGTACGATGAATTTCAATTGTTAGAATCGCGTGGTAAGGAAGCAAGTATTAAAGTATTTCTAATCGATCGATCAATTCTGAAATTGTTAATTGGTATTTTATAGATACGATCTATACTTACATCGACATTCGAACCTTTAACGAAGGCACCTTGCGGATGAACGTGATCATAAAGGATCACTAACCCTACCATCACTCTCAGAACAAAGAGTTGAGTTTCCTCTCGTTGGAATTGCGCCAGTAGATTGCTGAGAACAATGATATATCTTGGCTTAAACTGCTGCAATTTGTTTTTCTTTCTTTCTTTTTTTTTTTAGAAATCTCTCTGTTCAGACAACGTAAAGGTTCTTTCTTACGAATCGTCAGATCAATGGCTTTACTTACGGATTTTCTAACATGCGCAGGCAAACCTTGGCCATGGTACCAAGGGTTTCCGTGATGTTCTCGCGTGCTATGTCTTCGTTCTGAAGCAAACATGTAGAATTGCAAATTTAATGCCGCGCATAATCACGCGCTTCGTACAATATCAATCGTGATAAATAATATTTTAATATTTGATAGTTCAGTAATAATACTTAATATTTCAATAGTAATATTTAGTATTTCAATGATAATAAATAATATTTAACTTTCATATTTTATTTTAAAGAAACTTGTTCTAAATTATTGTCGAATTCTCCTTTGAAATTTTCTGGCATTTGTTAAAAATTCCTTTCAGAAGCAGCTAGTCAAATCTAACACGTTCAATTACGAATATCCCTGATACTCCATAAATATTATTCTATTATTTTCCTAAGACACCCTCAATTTTTGCGAATGTTGCAAACAATTCATGATTCAAACACGGAAACATAAATCTCAGGAAACGAACTTCCCTTCAAATTTGGTGCCTAAAATTTAGTTCGATGGTTCCAATTAAAATACACGTGTACACATATCCGATTCAAATGGATCTGCTATCCATTATGCTGGTAAATGTTCCGAGAACTGTTTTACCCTGAATCACTTCGCATAACAGCTTTTAATTTTCTGCCTCAGTGCGCGTCATTATTTATATCAACCTATTTTGTTCGCGTTACACCGCTGTTTCGTGCCGTTAATGAATATTCGATATTTATGCAGAATAAAACGTAACCGCCTTTTGTCTCCCGCTAAACAGAAACGTCTTCGATGAAAAATGAAAAGTCAGTTATTAATTACGTCGGACAATGTACGGCGGAGTAGAATAGAGAGTCGTCTCTCTACGCACGTTCCGTGGAAAAATGGGTTTTTCACGTCAATACCGTCTATTCGCTATCACCGAAGTAAATTCACTTTCAAAGGTCTCGTAAAAACCCTTTACATCCTCTTTCACCGTCGATTTTATTTAGTTCTTGCTCGTTTATTCCCGGAAACAGCGACGACTTCGAAAGTAGGTTGGACGATTTCAAAGTGACAAAGCTCGAGAGTTACTGGAATTTCTTTGCTCGCGTGAAATAACGTTCTGAACAATGCACTTCTGGCGATTCTTTCGACACAGCGAGACGTTTAATCTTTAATAAGCGAACGTGGAAAATTGAAGGTAGTTCAAACGTGTTAAACGGAATTTTTAGAGTTGTTAATTTTCTGAAAGCAACGTACTTCGTTTGATAACATGCTAATTTGCAAATCGTGTATTTTCTGATATTATTTAAATGTTGCTAATAAGAGCACGTGAAATATATAAATAAGTGACATTTTCCATTGACACTTTTATTGTACGCGTATTAACCCTTTATCTTGCGATTTCTTAATCACTGCACATTTTAGCCTTGACTTAGTATTCACATACGATTTCTTAATCACTACGTATTGTAGCCCCGATTGCTTCAATAGCGCGTTAAATAAAAACAGGTGCAAATATTATACGCAATTTGTTTTGCAATCGTCAGATTTAAGCTAAAGTTAAAGCTACAACTGAAATACAATTGAATGAAAATTTCAAGCGTTTTTAATATCTTCTAATGTTTCATTTATTGCACGCATAATTTTATATTTATTTAATGTCAATGGTCAATTCTTTTACTATTATTCAAAACAATCTGCTCCGCGAGCAGTGCATCTCCAAAATAAAGTATCAAGAGTGTCCGGCGCTTTAAATAAAATATCAGTCAAATCTTCGTCCAAGCTAGAAAGTACAACGGAAAGCTACAGAATGACAACAATGATATAAATCGATACAAAGAAAAACACTAGACTCCGTCGAAGAGCACTCGACGGTGTAATTGTTTCGCTGAACAGAAATCGTGAAACATAAAGCGACACTATTCAACCGGAATTCCCAGCGACCACCGCCGTCGATTGACATCCGGTAGGATCGATAATTGTCGAGCAGCTAGCGGAAAAGTAGGAGAGAGTACAAAGAAGGGAAGCAATACCACTTACGTCCATCAAGAAAGTAATGGTCGCGTGACTCAGAACGCGAAGCATGGGTGTCGCGTTGGCGTAGAACAAGGACATTCGGTTGGCCAGCTCGTTCCCGACTACGAGATCCTTCTCAGCGTTCTCCTGTCGCGCCAGGGATGCTCTGGTCAACGTCCTTCGATAATAACTGAAGTCGTTCTGAATGGCGGGTGTCTTCATCTTGTGCTCGTCGAATTTCAAGACGAACTCCAGAATTTCCGCCAGCTGTTTCACCAAAGCCTGCTGGGTCTCGAGATGTTGGGTCGGCGAGATGTTCCCGGAACATAGTTGACCCAATATTTTCGGCACTACCTTTTCTAGAAAAGAAGGAAACGCTGATCTTTTAGGTAAAGATTCTTTTGTTTCGTTTATATTTCTCTTTGTTCGCACGGCAAAGAAATTTGGTACTTCGGGAAACTGTGAATCGTTCGTAATGTCTTCGAGAAGCATCATCGGGAGAGTTGAAATTATTTAATCGTAGGAATATCAAGGAGAAAAATCGAATCGTAGTGAAATTCTTGCAAATTATTCAATTACACGAATATTAAGAAGAAAAACTGAATCGTGGAGAAATTCTTGCACATTTACACGTGAAATTGAACGGCACTAGTTCCCACTTAATTTCAACAGAAACGAATCGTCGCATCTTCGATGTTCCTCTTTACCCACATGCATTAGCATCGGTTAATTTATGTTCATATCTCAGACGTTTATGCTCGTGCAATTGGAAAGCGTACCAGTATTTTCATTGCCGAGAGAAGAATGTACAAGTTTGAAAAGCGACGTGAAAGTCAGTGAAATTTATCACATTTCTCATTCTTCTTCTAATTAAGTTTCTGTGTCTAACACACACAGTTATGGGAACCAAGGGGAAAGAACCTGGCCGGGGGCAATTTACTTTCTGTATTATATAGTTTACGAGCTAGCGGACATTTTCATTCCGCTTGGCTGGCTGCTACGTTATGCAAAATAAAGGCAATAAATGCGTCTGAAGTTTATAAGCGGTCCAAGTTTCTGCTTGTGTCTGTGCAACAATATTGGATTTCCAATCACTTGTGTGTACGGGAATATTCAGGCTAAACAATAATCCACACAGCGTTTCGTTGCGCTGAACCAATATCGACGTTTAAGTTCTTGCATTTTTGTTTGCCTCCGCCGAATGACATCGTAATTGAAGGTAGATGGGGGGGCAAATTGATTTCTCCATGCAAACGCGAAAGAATTATTTCGAGGATTGGAAATGAAACCTTTTGTTTCGATGAAAAATAATCGCACAATACATCCTTCTTTAGATAGGAATTCGTTGTTTACAATCCGTGGACTTTTTTAATCAAGCATCAAAATTTCGAAGAATACGACTTGTACAAATTAAAACGAATATGCATTTCTTTCATTTGTCAGAAGAATCTGTAGTATCGCAAATTTTATCTCGAATCTAACTCGATCATTTTACCGTCACGCTGTTTCGAAAAATTCGAATTTTTCATCGTCGAACGTTACACTCGGTTAAATATGGGATTTCATAAATAAATTTAAGGAGCTGACGTGAAGGTTTATGAAAAATATTGCACGTGAGAGCGGAGGAGTACAAAGGGTATGCAAAAAAATTAATACTCACCGAGTTCCAATGAAAATTCATAGAATCTTTTCAGCTTCGCGACCAAGGGGGCAACGGTCAGATAGGCTTTCCGTTGACACTCTTCCGTAGGCGCCGAAATCGCCTCTCTGATTTCTTTCCCGGCCCCTTTGTAACATTGAATCTCCTCTAGGATAGATTCTGAATTTTTCAAAACTCTCTGCACCGCTTCGAAGGTTTCCCTCTCCAAGTCGGATGGTTGTGCGTCTGAAAATTCGATGAAAAACATTATCCTACGTAAAACACTCTGCAACACGTTTGAAGGATGCAACAAGTAAGAACTAAAAGGGAGCGTTAAAAGGGAAGATTTCCGCACAAGTGTGCTTGTCAAACTTACTCTCGAAATCCAAAAAGACGTCGTACTTTTGATAGACTTTCTGGCAACAGGTAGACTCGTCTCGAGCCAGAAGACTCAAAAGCTTGCCCATCTTCGGTCTGAGGCTTCCTTTCACCCAGTATTATTTACAACATGAAAGGTATCTATATTTCGAGAGACAAACAGATTCACGTGTAAAAAGAGTGTCACACGAAACAGCTGATTTTTAAAAAAGCACAGAATAATAACACTATTTCGTCAGTCCAACAAACGACACTTTTCTCTTTCGATTAATTATTTCACTTATCTATAGAAGCGACAATAGTTAGAAAGTAGCGACACAGAACGTATGTCGGAGAAAACGTTGCAGACTCGAAGTTTCTCGATAGAAAAGTTTATTCGAACGCGGAGTACATATCGCGGGGATCGAGAATGCTCTTTAGGAAGACACGTCGATGGACACCGCGAGAACAAGGAGGCTCGAACGAGTGCCAAAACTGATCGCCTAAAAGTCAGAGTCGAGCGGAGTTGGCCTAGGCGGACGGAGTTCGCATCGTCACTGCTCCGAGGCAGAGGAGAATTAGAATTTCTGGCTCGATCCCTAAGCCGATCCGCGCCTGGTATACATGTCGAACTGTTAATTCCAGACAAATGACGCGTGTATGCACATGCACATTAGACCGTGTTCATATCGAGACCGCGGAACGAGAATGAATTCTGCGAACTCGTCAACGAGGGATGAACCTTCTCTGTTAATTCCAACCGGCGAAGCTGATCTATGCTGACCTCACCTGGATCTACCGAGGATTTCAAGGACTCTCTTCCACGCGAATCGGGACAATTCTACGACCTTTAATTAACGATTCGAGCAATGTGTTTTTACAGGCCTTTGTAAAATAGCGTTCGAATTCTTTCATTTCGTGCATTCGTATCGAAGTTAGGACCGTTTGAAGTCAGAAAGTTTCAACTCGCCTTTCTTCATCCATCTTTTTTATAACTTTTCTATCACATTTGCTATAAATGCGTTTGTGATACCTTAGGACTTGTGGAACGATGCCTCGTTAAAATTTTAGGTGCCCGAAGGGGTGCAAATTTGGCACTTTTTCAACATCCTCCTTTTCGTCACTTTTAAAGTAGCGTTTCGACAGTTTTACAAGAATTTTTGTAAATGTATTAATTGGAACTTGCGAGACACGCGTTGTGTATTTTAGATTGGAAAAATTATTAGCGATTCAGAGTAGGACGGGAATGTTTTTTCCCTCGAGACTGCAAAAGGTGAAGAAATTCTAGTTTTGGAAGGCAGAGCAATTAGAAACTGAGAGCCAGATAAAGATAACTTGAAATTAGCAGAGAAACTGGTTTGTTAGCCGGTGACATAACTAGAGAACATTATAAGCATTGCTTGTAAGCGGTAATCAGTTCGTTTCACTCTCGGAATGCAGTTGTTATCAGCAACAGTTGCACCGAATAAAAGGAACTCCATTATCTCGTAATGTATCTCGTAATCGACGATGCCTGAAACTGATAAAGTTCGCGATAAACACAGGAAAGTCGGTGAAAGTTTGTAACCACGTGAGAGGAGGACAACGATCGAGTTTGCTAGATCTAAAATTGTGCACCGAGGTATTCCAATGTACCGGTGAATGTCTCCGTTATTTTTAGCAGAAAACTGCGTGTCCCGTTAACGAACTTCTCTCGTCACGCTGAATTCGTACGCACGTTCGCCAATTAACCAATGATTCTCACCGGAATCAGTTCGTTCATCCTCCAAACGGTCCGTGTAAAAATACTCCACGGTAAACCACCTCTGTCGTCCTTTTTCCCCCCACAATTCCATCTGGATCGATCACACTCTTATCCCGACGAATATCGAGCGAAATCGAAAATAACTCGGAACCGACACGGGGATAGAATAAATGTTTACGTTGAAAATTCCATGGATGATTCGACGCAGAAGCGTATCCGAAATCGGCGAAATGTTATCACAGTGGACAACACGCGAGAATCATTGCTTCCGCATCTCGTCAGGACAAACGAAACACGATTACTCGAGCAAACGAGACGTGAGTTCACCGTGTTAATCGCACAAACAAACTTCTACGAACCATCTGAATTCACGATAACCAGTTCCTCCTCGCGCCACGCGTTTTCGGTCGAGATAGAAACACAAAGAAGGAAGAATTCACCGACCGGCGGATGCATCCAGGTGAGAGTGTGTAGAAGACTGTGTGTAAAGTTGCAGGTCGTTGGATTCTTATGTGAGAACGTCTCGAGAGAGAAAAAAGGAACGGTGATTTAACGGCACGTACGATGATCTCTCGTTGAAACGTTGAAGGAGTTTCTCTGTGAAACTCACCGTGAAGTGGAGTCGGCGTGATCGCGCGCGGCAACGCGAATACATGACGCTGACGGGTGCACGTCGAAGCCCGTGGATGGTCAACAAGTACGCGAACCGAGTGCAACAACTGTCATTCAACGGACGGCCATGTTGCTGTTCACAGGGGGTTGCGTTGTGTAGTGGCGCGGTTCGAGACCTCTCCTTATTTGGTAAACGACAGTGGCGGCGGCGGCACGTTCGCGCGAAAAATCAATGGGGTAGTTCGCTGATTTACCCTCTGGGTGACGCTACTGCTACTATTTACAGCCGCTCGACGTTTTCGAACAGTTTTTAGGTAGGGTGTTGCGAGGATTTTTCGGTTCAGACTTGGGTTGCGAGAAGGGTAAATTTGGGAATGGACCGCTTCTTTTAACCCTTTAAACCGTGTATCACAAGTGCACAATAAGTCGTCTGTCGTTATTTTTTCACTTTCCACATTGCGTGATCTTCTCTAATCTGTGGCAAAAATGTAAGTTACAGCATTGTAAATAATGAAAAGGAAGCTAAATTTATCATTTCTGACATATCGAGTTGAGAAACATGTGTGGAATTGGTTTAATAATATGTTGCGAGTGATGGCGTGAATGTAGTGTGTTTGTGGAATCGTCTCGAGATTTGGAAAACGAGCGGATCATACAGAGAAACAGGGAGTAAAAACAGTAGAACCGCGTTGTTATTGATATTAGAGAGTACGTGAGAATTTATTGCGAGATTTAATAAGAGACCGTTGATCAAATTATCATTATTCCTTTTTACTTATTATCACGTGTAATACAACCACAACATGTGAGCGTTAAGGGGTTAAAAGTGGAATTTCGGCTAGAATTAATTGAACAAACAGCAGAGGGTTTTGCTTATGATGCAGTATATTAAATGAAATTACAGTAGAAATGTTCAGTAACGCAGAAATTATAGTACTTTTTTTTTAGAATAAACATATAAAAAATTGTAATCATGGTCCAACTACTCGGGACACTGTGGGTTAGTTGAAGAAACAAAAGCAAGAAAATGAAAAACGTAGAAAAACGCTTCAAATTTGCGAAATAGATTATTTCGCAACGGCGTACATGGTTGGTAAAGATATTTTAAATTAGCACAGACCGATATCTCGGGAATTTTATGAATTAAAATTGATAACACTCGAAGAAAAAATTCAAAGGAACGCGGAAGTGGGAACGAAACGAAAAGAAATAATAACGAGTTGGTTTAATTCGACCGCATACCGCGTCTAATTTTATTTTTCTTTGTAATTTGACCATGCAGTCGCAACGTCTTATCAACTCCCTCGAGATTTCTCCGAATACCAACTGCGCGACAATGGGCACATTATTTTGTGAAAACTCCGAGGAGCCTTGCAAAGGTTAAAAATTGATTTTTTTAGAGTTGACATGATTTAAAAATTCAGATTCAGCGTTGAAAAGAAAATTAGATACTATATGGGGCAGATAATGTTTATACATTGTGATTGATTAATAAGAGAAACAAGGTAACATTCGCCAAATTATAATTTAATTTAATTTTCGAATATAAAAAATTATTCAAACCTCAATGTAAGTAATTTCGTTTATAGATTCTAAATTCCAATGTCCAGTTTGTTCGATGTATAGTTCACGTACAATATTAGATTAAACGAAATTCTATTTAGTTCCTGGTTTGTTTTTGAATAAACGTAGCGCACGATAATCGACATTTTAATCTCTTTTACCGTAGTTAACGGTACACGATATTTTTCATCGATATTTTAATAAACTTTCCACGCACAATACGTCCGATAAATAGTTGACGAGTTATTACGAATTAAACCGAAATATACTTTGTTACAATTGAACATAGTTTTTAAATACAAGCAGCTCACAACTTCTAAGCATTTCATTATTATGTTTATCTTCGTCGTAACTTCGACTTTTGAACGTTTTCGAAACTGCATAATCTTCTAGAATGCAAACACGAACATAAGTATGCAAAATAGAACGTGTGCGCCGGTAGGTAAAAGAATATGAAAGAGAGTCGAGGTGATAAATAAACCACTTAAACGACGAATAAGTAAATATCCAATTTAAATGCTAGAAGATTCGTCGAGAAGAATTTGAAAATAGTTCAAACATATACCGTACGCAAATGCTTAACAACTTTGAAAGGGAGCACGCTTTGAAACGACATTTATACCAAATAATTATTCTCCACGAGCCTCTTTTAAAATTAATAACTTCGTTTGAAAAAAAAGTAGAAGGTGATTATTATTTATCGTTGCAAAATCTTTTTGTCACTTTCAATACCTGTTGAAAGTATCGTCGAATTTTTGCATAAATTAAATTTTCAGGGTTAATCAATCTGCTTCCGAACTCTTTATCTAAATTGCAAATATTTCGGAATATTTCGGTTTTTGCGGCTAGTATATTGGCGTGGCTATAACACAGGCTCGTATTTCGAAATGCGACTATAAATTTAGAAATTCTCGGGAACTCGTGGCCAACTGAACCGTGAGGGGGTATATGCCTTTTTCCTTTTTTTTTTTTTTTGTCGCCAGACCAACGGATTGCCAGTGACGGTCAAGACGAAACTCGAAAGGGTGAACAATATCGTCGAGGTTGACCGAGTTACCGAAAATCAATCGCGTTAATGTTTATGCCGGGAACACTTGGGTCAGCACCTTTGTGGGTTAACGTTCGTGGGGTAAACGAATGACATTGAAACGACAAGCCATTTATAAACCACTGAAACCTCTTTGAAACGGCAAATATTTTTGTTGGAAATTATGATACTTTCAGGATGATTCGTCAGACACGG